CTGCTGCCAGCCACCACAACGGAGGCCGCGCATTGGGGCACTCCTCGGCACGCCCTCACGATCATAAGCCCGGCCAGCGTCAGCGATGAGCATGGGCACTTCTCCCGTTCGCCCTGCAGCTTCCATCCACGTCATGACGCTGCCGCCCCTGGCTCCGACCCACTCTCTGGTGCTGCTGATCCCTGCGGACGTGCCCGCGCGGCTCAACAGCTTGCCGATGACCTGAACAATTTCGCCACCGTCCCGTCACCTGAACGACAGCGACCCGCGGAAGGTGCTGCACCAGCTGACGCCGCTCCTGAAATCGGTGGCCTCACTGCACCTCCAAACACTGCTGAACCTGCCGCTCACGCTCCCCTGCCGAATTTCGGGGAAGCAGATCACGCTCCCCTGCCGTTCACGCTCCTCATGCAGATCAGCTCCTCGCGCAATCTCGAGAAAGCTGCCGAACGCTTCTTCGACAGCACGTGCTCCAACCTGAACGCCGAGGCGATGGCCTTCACGGCATCGTCGCCCAGCCCCGCCGCGAGCAAGACCGCCGAGGTGCTGGGCAACAACGAATGTGGCAGCACATCGACCAGATGCGCGACACCTCCGCGCTCGCCGGAGCACAGGCTCCGGTCGCGGACCTCGTCGGGCTTGCCGAATGGGGCAGGGCGCCAGAGGCCGCGCTCTTCTCCATCGGCAGCCACCGCTCCACCACCCCCGACCTGTCCCCAACGACGCGCAGAGATGACTCGCCCTCGCCAACTTGTCGCCCGACCACGTTGGGGTGCTCGGCGATGCGAACTCCCGGCGCCTCGGCCTCCTATAGTGGAAGGTGACGGAGCAGTTGCAGCGCAACGTGCTCTCGCCCTCGCCCACGCCCCTCGCGACGCCGCCGGCAAGTGGGCGCGGCTCGCGCCCCCGCGCGGAGATCCAGCGCAAGAGCCTCGGCAGCTCCTGCGGCACCGCTGCCCGAACACGCAGCGGCGCGCCATCCGCGCGAAGGGCGAGATCCACTGCCCCGCCACGCCCGTCGTCTGCCTCGACGCCCCCGCGCAGCCAGACCGACCGGCCATCCACCCGTGGAGCGATGGCGCGCTCGAGCTCGGCAGCTTCGAAAGGATCGATCATGGCGACGCCCCCGCGCCCTTCCCGACCCTTTTCGCCGACGCGCAGGCTGCGGCGTGGGCCCCCCGGCCGCCCCCGAGCCTCGTGACTTCTCGCCGAGGGGACTGAGTTGTCAGGAGGGAAAAAAACACACAGACACAATTATTCGTCGATTCCCAGGAAAATCTGGGAAAATATGGGAAGTGGGGGGGAAGACAGGAACCCCCAAAATATGGCAAAATATGGGGGATATGTTGATTTGTGTGTATTTATTTGTGTGTCCCAGTTCCCCTTCAAGTTGGCGGCGTTCGGCGCGTGGAACGCGCGGGTTCGCCCGCGCCATCAGCGCGGGGGGCGCCCAGGGGGGGCGGGCCGCCCCTGCCCAGTCCCTGATGCGCCGGCGCGCCATCATGCTCCAGGAGGCCCACGGCGCCGAGGCCCTGCTCCGCACCTATGGGTCGACGCGCCGCCGCGCCGCCAGAAACTCCTGTTTTCTGGGCCCGAGAAGAACGACGGCGCCGATGCGCAGCGCGCGAAGGAGGCGCTCCGATCCCCGCCCCGCGGGTCGCGCCGGCGCAGCTCGAGCAGCTCCAGCCGCGCCAGCGACCGCGCTGCCCCCGGGAGGGGGCGCTCGCTGGCCGCAGCCAGCCCGTCGCCATCGCCCGAGCCACTCCCCCCCGCGCCGCTGCCACCGCGCGCGCCCGCAGCTGCGGCGCCAACGGCCGCCGACCATGAATGGGCCCACCTGGCCTGGCGCCGTCGCCGCTGCCGGTGTGGAGGGCGATCCATGGAGGGGAAGCCTGTTGCCAAATCATTTCCAGATGTCTAGAACATGTGGTAAAACTGTGTTCCACATGTGGAACACATGTGTCAACAACATGTTCAGGACATTTTCCGACATTTTAAGCACATGTCTAACTCGATGATAAGACTGTTAGAGCGCCTATTGCCATGGCATCCACAACGCTACCGCGCATTCATCGCCATATATGGGGGGCTTCAACACCGCGTGCCGTCTGCCGATCAGCTTCTGCAGCCTCAGCCGCAACGCGAGCGCGCCTCGCCGTCGAGAAACGCGCTGAACAGCGGTGGCCAGTCTGGAAGCCCCTCTTGGACATGAAGCTCCAAACCGATAATATCCCGACGCGTTTCAACAGGGCCGGTTTTGCCGCAACCGCCGTCGACAGCATTTCCGTAGTTTGCCGTCGCCAGCCGCGCCAGCGTTCGCAACCGAAGTCACGATCGCCCACGACGCGGCCATTCTGTCCGTCTGCCGCATCAGCGACCGCGCCACCGACGCTGTCTCCATCAGTTTCAAGCCGAAGGCACCGCGGATCGAGCCAGCCATCTCGCCCGCCATCTTCCGTGACCCGAACGATTTACGATTTGCCTACAGCAGGTGATCGACGCCGCGGAGTCCCAGCGCGCGCCGATCGAGAAACGATATTGCACCCACAAGCTCCTCATGGTTCAGGCCGCGCCACTTAATCCACGATGAGCGGCTGCGCCGCCCTGCCGGGGCGCCCAGCAATCGGGCGACTTTGCCGGCCATGTCCTGGCAGCCCGCGCTATCTTCTCGCGTGCCATCTGGCGCGGGGCCGTTCAGCCGCTGCGCCGACTTCGCGCCGCCGCCGAGACGCGCGCGAAGTTCCTCCCCTTCGGCCGTGGTGCCATCGCTT